GGGCTGCGTTGCGTTCGCTTTTGTCAATTCTCCGATTCCTGGTCGCACACACCGTTTCTCCCGTCTTGGTCCGACGCTGCTACGGTGGGTTTGAAGGAAGGGTGAGGAGCTGGGAAGGGTCTCTCCGAGAGAATGTTCAAATCCGTTCCCGCCAAAGGCAGCGGGAAGGGAAGGTCCTGTGCCTGGCTGGGAGCTGGTAAGGTGGGCCCTAAAAACAACTGCAGACCGTAAGAGCTGTGAGTTTGAGGTGAGGTGAGAAGTTTTTTTTAAAAGGTAATTCCTTCCCCCGGGAGGAGTAGGAGGACATCAAGGGCTCCAACCCTGCAGCTGCTTTTAGGTGGCAGACCCGTAGGTACGGCAGCCCCAAAACACGCTGGTAGGCTGCAGGGCTAATTAACGTGGTTCCCCATAACCTCTGCAACAGCCAACGCGGAACTCGTGTGTGAACACGTGGCCGGGTAACTAACGGAACCTCTGCTTGTGCGAGACACCAGCAAACCAGTGAGGCTGCTGGCGCAGCATCCGTAATCCCAGTATAGGTTTGAAATACAGCGGCAATGCTTTGGACAAGTTAAGGCATTACACACAAACGATCAAGGCCCACATCTTCCTTCCAGCTAGAGAAATGGTTTGCCTGTTAAAGACACTGTTGGCCCAGGAGACCCAAAGCCTCTTTGACTTTCTAATGTTGGCTTTGATTACGTTACTGCATTTTATCAGTTGCCTGCTGACCTGTGGCAGCGCAACACAGAAGTTTCAGTGGCCACTTTAGCTTGTTCTGCGTTGTTTCAAACGTGGAAGTTTGCAGTGCTTGAGCCGAACGCCAGCTTATCTGCTGGAACCGCAAACTGTAGGCGGCAGATCTTCCCTCAGTCGCATCCTCAGACACCCCGTGAACTTCAGAGAACCGCGATGCGAATGTCCTCTGTCACTGTTTTGTACAAGCGCAGGCAGCAGCAGGCCGTTGTACGTGGCCAATGGCTGCTCACAAAAATTTTCTTTTTGCCACAATTCGTGATCTTCAAGGCATAGAGGAAGAGGAGCATTGGCAGTACAGCTAAATCCCCTGTGTTTATTACTCCTGCTCTGAAGTGGGAGCGCTGCTGCTACGTCAAGGAGGATGGAGAAGTAGGATGATGGTGCCTGCTAACTTGGACCTGAGCAGTCACTGTAGAAAGACACGTGGCCGTCATCCTCTGCGTGCTACTGATGCAGGCGAGATGCTGCTTTACTGGGGTAGCTGCTGTAGTCTCCAGCTGGAACGAGGAGAGATTTTCTCAGTCTGAATAAGCGCTGGGGTGGTTTGCCCTGAAGTGTGTTGCAGCACCGGCAATAGGCTGGGGAGGCTCTCTGTTTTCTCTCCTCCTGGAAAGGAGGATGCAGGCACAGCTGCAGATACGTTGGGTCACCTTGAGAACTGGCAAATTACTAAGTCGTACTGTAGGAAGAAGTGCATTTCCTCCTCTCCTGGTCTTTTTAAAACCAATGGGTTTGATGCTAATTAGCTGCTGTGATTACTGTGACAATGCATTCTTTCTAGTGCCCAGCTAGAAAGCAACTTTACAAAAACTGCAAAGCCCTTACAAGCTCTTTTGTAAGGGCTCCTTACTGCCCTTTAACTCTTCTGCCCGTCTGAAATTGAGTTGCAAATTCTTTCCTTGTTTTCTTAGCGGGTTTTTGGTTGTGTATATGCAATTGCCTCTGTCTGTGCTCTGTCTGATTTGCTGGTATTTAGAAGGAGGGGGCGGTGAGGAGGAGGAACTATGTGAACCGGTAATGTACTCGGAGAAAATTAGGTTTGTACTGCTTTAAATAGCAGCTGTTTTGACAAAAAGATAATTTTTCTACGGTCACACTCAGGTGTGAAGGTCTGTATGCAGCTTTTCTGGTTTTCTCTCCCTGTAACTCACATCTGGCTTGGTTTCGGCTACCGTACAGTGATGGGGGTTGGGTAGGTGTTGCTTCTATGTGGGATTTCTGGGTGCGTCTTGAGAGAGAATACGGCGAAAACTTCTGGGTCGAGTGCTCTGTACCTTCAACATGCCTCACAAATTGGTAACAGAAGATAAGAGTAACAGCTCCCTTGCTTGGAAAACAGTTTAGCTACATAAACCATAGACTCAACAGGAGCAGAGTGCCAAGGAGTCATTCTGAAATCAACAAGAATGCAGCAAAGATGTGGCTGTTCCGCTGCCTCCCTCTAGACAGGCAGATCTGTTGGCAGCGCTGGTAGTTGTGATCCATAATGGTATTTCCTTGGGTCAGATGAGAGCGTCCTATTCTTCTCCCATTGATGGTGGTGGCAGGCAGCCACCTTGCTTCTCTGCCATTGACAGTTGGGTGTATGCTGGAGTGCAGAGTGTCTGGAGCAGGGAACCGTCTGCTGCTGTCATAGCTCCCGTTTGGAGAGTTGCCGTGTCTCCTATTTTAGGAAGCCGCCTCTTTTTCTGGAAAACATGAAATCGTTTTTTTGCCCCTTCCCTCCAGTAACTTGCTGAAATGAAGTCAAAATCCTATGGTAATTCAGACTGGGAGGGACCTCTGGAGGCCTCTAGTCCAACCTCCTGCTCAGAGCAGGATCAGCTGTGAGATCAGACTGGTTCGGTATATGCGAATAATCAGCTTTGTATATTGAGAATACAGCGGCACTACAAGTTGGAGCGATCTGATGCTCTAAAACTGCTAACATCTTGGTCATGTCAGATACTTAAACTTTTCTTTCTTTTTTTTCCTGGCTCAAAATTGCAAATATTTTAATGAGAGGGTTGTTCCCCCCCCCCCCCCCCCCATTTATCCTAATAGGG